GGGGCGCGAGGCGCGGAGCTATATTTACCAGATCGATACTTACCACGAGGATGAGAGGGAAGAGGAGGAGGAGGAGGACGAGGAGGAGGAGGAGGAGGAGGAGGAGGAGGAGACGAGCGCGTCCGCCTCTTCCTCCTCCTCCTCCTTCTCATCCTTCTCCTCCTCCTCCTCCTCTTCCTCCTCCTCCTCCACCTCCTCCTCCCCAGAAAAACAGGCGGGTATCAGCCCGATCGTCACCCTCGTTTGCCCATAGGGGGCCAGGGGGGGAGAAATTGCTCGCGTCGCCAGCGGCCACCCATGGAGTGGGTGGTGGGTAGGTTGGGCGCCGGAGCACGGACTCCAGCTCCCCATACCCCGAGCAGGGCGCGCGGAGCACGGTCTCCTTGCGCGCCCTGTTTCGGCATGCGCGCGCTACGGGAGCATGGCCCTGGACCGTTGGCGCTGCCTGCTGGCACTCCCCTTTTGGGGAGGTGTTCGGGCTCTTTTCCTTTCAGTCGGGCCCGTGACCGAGTCGCCTAGCTGTGCCCTTGGCGCGCTTTGCGCCGCGCTTGTTGAATGACGCTACCGAGGAACCCCACATATTAACCTGTACACCCCATGCGTTCACATGCCGTTGTCGCGTCGTCGTCGTCATCGTCGTTGGCGTCGTCGTTGTCGTATTCGTCGTCGTCGTCGTTTTCGTCCTCGTCGTACTCGTTCTGCTCGTCCTTATCGTCGCACTCGCCCTCGCACTCGTCTTCGAACTCGTCGTCGTACCCTGCCGTCGCACTCGTCGTCGCATTTCTCCAAGCGCGGTGCGATGTCTCATGGGGCTCGCGGCGCCAGAGGTACTATGCGGAACGACGCGCCCGTTAGGATTGGACCATCCCGAAGCCTCTAGGGCTCGCAGTGGATCAGGATCTGCACCGCGGTGTCGAGGTAGCACGTTTTCCCGAAGTACCGCGTGCGCGCAGACGTCCGGTAGAGGTTCGACAGGTCGTCGTTGACGCAGGCAAAGAAATCGAACGCTCTCTGTTTTGCGAACGAGAACGCATCCGCGCGGGCGTGGCTCATTCTTCTCAAGTCTTCCCAGGCAAAGAGAACCTGCGTGGTGCGTTCGATCCTTTGATCCTGACAGGGTCGGGGCGCGGGTCCTCCTTGTAAGCTGCGTAGAGGAACTTCACCGCGTCCACCCGCTCTGCCAGGGCTGCCTGCCACGTGCGGCGCGCTGGACTTTCGACGTCTCGTAGAGAGTCGATGCTATGATGATCAGCGGCAGCTCGAAAAAGTCCAAGGCCAGGGGGCGACGTCGTTCACCTCCCTGTAGAACTTGGCGCTAGGTCCGCCGAGCACGTCGGGCTGCAATGCGAACGGACGAAGGGTGGCACATCCACTCGGTAGGATCCAGCGCTCGTCGCCCTGTCTCGAAGGCCAGTGCTCCGGATCAGCAGCTCGTTCGGCTGCGATTTCACCTCATCATGTGACTGGTTTCGCTTCAGCGTTTGACGACAAGCTCTCGAGTTTAATTGATGCCCGACGTCCTTGCGCCCAAGGCCCAGTTGCCCAACGTCGGTCCGCGTCTGCCCGCTTAGGGGAAAGTTGAATGCAACGGGCGCGCGTGGAACGAACAGAGGTAGCAAGCAGATCTGCTGGGGAACGCTGAGGGGCGAAGGCCTGCATGGGCGTGGACTTGACGGGCGTGGACTTGATGGGCGTGACCTGCGCGGGCGTGGAAACGCCCCCGTTGCCGACGTCGCCGGCTCGCCGAACTTTCACCCACGGCGAGCCATCGCACTCTTTCGACCCCCCCGGCTGATCAGCGGGGAACCCGACGGAGGAAGGGTTCAGCAGGTACTTCACCAAGCATTCTCTCCTGGTATCGTCGCCCCGTCCTTGATGGAACAGCTCTTCGCACCTGTTAAAAAGTACATCAGGCCACCAATTATTCAGCTGTCGTTGGTAAAAATTCAATGCGTGTTTGATTGAAGCTGCCTCGCAAAGTCGCAGATTGACAATGCTAGCCTCGACGCCTGCGTTTGTCATGTACTTCTTCAGATTCAAACGCGGAGGCGGCGGTGCGTCAATGGGACATTTGGGCGGCATGAGCGGCGCGGGGGGCAAGGCAGCGCCTGCAATATTTGAACGGATTCGGGCCAGGGTGTCTACGGTTCCGGCTGCCACGCATGCCGCGCTTTCCCGCCATGGCACGCATATGGGGCCGCGTTGAAGTCACGCCCCCTGCGCACCCAATGAGTTGCCCCTGCCACGCATAGAGGACCACCCCGTGCACGCTCCTTATGGTGTCGAGGAACTGCCACGCCTGCTACGTTCTGCGACTTCGGCACGCATATATAGAGGCCGTGTTGAGAGACCCCCCCCTGCGCACCCCTGTTGTGTCGGGAAAGTGCCACGCCTGCCACGTTCTCCGACCCGGGCACATATAGAGGCCGCGCTGAAAGACCACCCCCCGCGCACCCCCTCTGGTGTCGAGAAAGTGCCACGCCTGCCACGCCCCCCCGACCCTGGCACGCATAGGGGCCGCGCTGAGAGACTACCCCCTGCGCAACCCTTTGTGGTGTCGAGAGAGTGCCACGCCTGCCACGCTCTCCGACCCTGGCACGCAGAGGGGCCGCGCTACCACCCCCTGCACACCCCTTCTGGTGTCGAGAAAGTGCCACGCCCGCCACTCACTGCGAATCCCACACGCACGTCTTGTATATGGCATCTCATGTGTATGTGGATGATGCGTGTGCGGTCGTATCTGGACGTGTGTTTCATATGTGTACCAAGTATGTAGCGCGTACGTCGTGGGTGTACGGTGCAGTGAACACGACAGGCGTGCACTAGCGTTGTATGGTGTGTGTGTGCATGCGTGCGGGTACATGTGCACGCGTGTTTGATGCACGTGCCGTGCATGTGTTGCGCGTGGGTGAAGGGAAGAAGGAAGTGAAGGAGGGGAGGAAGGAAGAGGGAGGGGATGTGTGTGTGTGTGCGGCAGACGCGGGTGCGACGCGGCAGAGAAGAGAACCAGAACCCCACGAAACATGTGGGGAACAACTCCTGCTGGTGCCGATCCCAAGGACACCTTCAGTTTCTGAGAGCGCATCCCTAATAGTGTCCTCGGTTTGGGCTTGGTTCAGTTCGAGGCTGGTTATAGATGACCTAGCTCCTGATTTGGAGGCTCCCGCGAACCGGTGGGTGACGGCTTGAAGACCATGCGCTGCCAGCGCCGAGCTCGTTGTGCAGCAGCCGAAAAGGACCCGCGCAGCCACGAGCGGGGGAGTGGGCGGGAGGAGGGATGACGAGCAGGAGGAGTGACGAGGAGTTGGAGGATGGCAAATGGAAGAGGATGGCGAGTAGGAGTAGGAGGAGGAGGAGAAGTATGAGGAGGGGATGCTCATGATGCTGCTGCTGCTGCTGCTGCTGACGATGATGATGATGATGAGGAGGAGGAGGAGGAGGAGGATGATGATGATGATGATGGTGGTGTTGGTGATGGTGAGGGTGACGAAAGGATGGGGATGAGAAATGGGATGGGGGATGATAATAATGACGATGAGGATGAGGATGAGGATCAGGATGTTGATGATGGGGATGATGATGATGATGATGATGCTGATGATGATGATGATGATGCTGATGCTGATGATGATGATGGTTGTGTTGGTGGTGATGATGCTTATGAGGATGAGGATGAAGATGATGTCGTATATGGGCATGATGCTTCTGCTGCCGCTGATGAAGATGATGTTGATGCTGATGATGATGATGATGATGATGATGATGCTGATATGATTGGTATGCTGCTGATGATGCTGATGTTGATGACGATGATTATGATGAGGAGGATGAGGGTGAGGGTGAGGATGACGATGATGATGCTGATGATGATGCTGCTGATGATGCTGCTGATGAGCATGATAATGATGATGCTGATGCTGATCATTATCATGGTCGTGATCATGCTGGTCATGTTGGTCATGTTGATCATGATGATGCTGGGACTGAGGCTGATCAGAATTATGATGAAGATGGGCTTCCGAATGAGGATGAGGATGTTGATGCTGCTGATGATGATGCTGATGATGATGATGCTGCTGATCATGATTATGATGATTGCGATGATGATTAAGATGGTGATGGTGGTGATGATGATGATGCTGATGATGCGGATGATTAGGAGCAGGAGGAGGACGAGGAGGTTGAGGAGGAGGCGGAGGTTGGGGATGTGCATGATGTTCAGGATGATGATGGGGATGACTCTCAGGATGGGGATTGGGGTGGGGAGGGGGATGGGGATGAGGCTTCGGCTGACGATGATGGTGTTGCATATGCTGCGGATGATGATGATGATGATGATGATGATGATGATGATGATGATGATGATGATGATGATGATGATGATGGTGGTGGTGGTGGTGGTGGTGATAAAGCTGATGCTGATGATGAAGGTGGTCATGATGATGGTGGCCGTGATGGTGATGCTGTTGATGAGATTGATGATGTTGGTTTTGATATTGATCATGATGCTGATGCTGAAGCTGATGATGCTAACGCTCACGATGATGCTGATGATGATGCTGATGATGATGACACTGCTGATGATGATGATGGTACTGATGATGATGATGCTGATGCTGATGATGATGATGATGATGATGATGATGATGATGATGAGGAGGACGATGATGATGAGGATGATGATGATGATACTGATTGTGGATGGGCTCCTGGTTCCTCGAGGCCTCTCGGACATCTTAGAGGGTAACGTACTTCGGGAACATGAGACTGATCGGATCCTTTTCAGTACTCAGCGCGCAAGCTCCTGAAAGGGGGCCGCCAGGCCCCCTTTCCCTGAACCGAAACAGCAGTACAGGAAAACGGGTTCAGGGGTTCTGGGTTAGGCTGTACAGGCAACTAGAGGGCCCAAGGTGGCTTCTTGGGGGTCCGCGGGCTTCTAGAATCACACTGGCGGTATTCTACTGCTCAGAACCCGTGCAACTCCTCGACCTCATTCCCGCCTGGTTCAAGCGGCTAGCCTCGGGCCTCTCTCGGAAGATCTGCTGGGCTTCCCTGAGGCGCTTGTAGGCTTCGGGCTCGTAGTTGAGATCGTCCACGTTGCTGGTGGCACCTAAAGTGCCCGTACAGTCCATTCCGTAGAGGTGGGGCCCAGAGAAGCAGCAGTTGGTCACGGCGAAATTGGTTGGCTCCTTTTTCTGGCGTCGAACTCTGTCCTTGCACCGTCGGCGAAGCACGATGCTGTCTGCGGTGATGCCGTATTCTCCGTCATGTAGAGCTTGTCGTAGTAGGGCGCTCTCGCCCTTACGCTTGGTGAGTGGATCGGTGAGGTGTCTGGTGCCCTCGATCCACCGAAGGTGAACTTCTGGTCGTTGCATGGCTGCTCGAACGATGGCTCCGTCGATGGCGGCGCGCTTGTCCTCGGCCAAGCCTGTCTTGGGATTGGTCACGTGGGAGTCGGTGACGATGATCACTGGAAACTTAGATGCTAGCATGTAGGGCCTCATCAGGTCGAACTCGCTGTCCATAATCTCGAGCAACATGGTGCGAATGAACTCTGCCATCGCCATTCCTTCTGAAATCGCCAGCGTCTCGGCACCGAACTGGTGAGCACACTTCCTCTTAAGTTTGTGACTCTTCCAGGACTGGATCGAGATGATGGCGGGCTCACCTTTGAGAATATTGCGTTGTGTGGCGAACACGATGCATCCAGCCTGTGAAGCTCCATCTCTGGCATTTGGCCAGGCCGCGTCATTGAAAACTGCAAAAGCCATCTCGTGAAATGGGATGTGCTTGATCCTGAGAATCACCGAGCTGAATTCCTTGGTCATCCTGCCGATGCGGTTCGCCTCCAGCAAGTCGTCCACCACCAGGTTGGGCATCTTTCCTTGGAGTAGGGACAGTGGACCAGATAGATCGGGCCTGCTTTCACGGGCCAGAAACGAAATTGAACCGCACAAACTTCGTGCTTAGTGGAGTTCTTCAGGTGTAACTGCAGAATGAGGCTCTTTACGACGTTCAGTGGCTATGTTGATTAGCTGGATGCTGCTCGAACTGAAGCTTTGTGATATCGTGATCTCGGTGTTGTCCTCGTTCTGCTGTAGCTCCTTACCGGTGTACTTCCCGCTCTTGTGGCGCCACGCTCCGAAAGGAAACCTTCCTCGTAGCTTCTGACAGGCAGTGTCGAATAGAACGTCTCCACCACCCACGATGTCGTCCACAGTGAGGCCCATGATGCCGTGAAGTCCCTTCTCGTCTCTCAAGTAGAAGACGCAGCTGTCGAACATAGAGCACTGGAAGCCGATCTCCTTGGCGTACTTGGTGAAAGCTGATAGCCATTGTAGTGGGGCATCGCCTAGGCCATACACTGCCTCGAGTAACTCCACCAGCGAACCGCCCTCCACATTAGGAATCCCAGTGCGAGGTAGCTCCACATAAAGACTGCCTTGAGATCGATCGAGTGGATCTCCAGCGGTAACAGCCGAAGTGATGTCCGCTAGCTGCAAGATCCACTTGTTAGAGCACAGGATTTGCAAGATCAGGAACATGGAGTCCTTGCCGACGACTGGGCTGTAGGTCTCGAGATAGAGCAGGTCGGGGTCGGCGTGTCCTTGAACGGTCCAGCGAGCCTCTGCCATCCTCCAAGTGCCGTCGCTCAGGAACATCAACTGCCGCTTGCTAGCGTCGACCTCCTCAGGATTGCCGCCCATGTCGGCAAGCACCCAACGAGAGCCCATGATCCTGGAAGCTCGATCGGGATCTTGACGTACTTCAGCGGCTTCAGCAGGTGGAAGTAGTCGAATTGCTTTTGCATTCTTGATGTTGCCCCACTCTCTGCGCTCAGCTGCGATGTAGGGCTGGTACTTGTAGGTGTTCAGAAGCGACTTCTCGGTGATCTCCTTACGAAGTCGTTGATTTGTGTTGGTGAGCATGGCTGAGCTGACGACTGGTGCCTTCACTTTCTTGACCTTCTTCTTGGGTGGCGCCTCCGCCTCCTTGTTGATCTTATCTTCGATGACGGCAATCCGCTCGCTGACTGGCATGGCTGAGGTCGGATTGTCGACGTTCTGCTTGATCGTAAACGGCACGTCGTCTAGATGGTCGTAGTACTTGGTGGCCATGGGAATCAGCCCTGGGTTGACATCCGCGGCCTTCTCGATCTCTGTGATGGGCGGCTGCGAGGCCGCTCCTTGATCATCCGCAGCCGGCTCTGGTGGGGCAACGTGAGGCACTTCAAGATCGTCTGGTAGCTGATCTTGTCGAGTGAGGCCTTCGTATTTACGACGTCCTCTGTTCTTGGTGTTCAGCTCCTTCTTCATGGCGTTGTCGATCTGCTCCCAGGCTGCGACCTCGGCCACGTTCGCATGTCGAAGCTGTTCAGGTCAGCACTTGAGTAGACCTCCCTGATATGAGCACCACTGTACTAGGAAGCTCTACCTGGATGACACGTGCAGGTCCATGCCAGGAACTGGTTGGCAGCTTGTCAGTACTGCTTCGCCAGGAATAACACCGATCTCCTGGCTGAAAAGTGGCACCTCTCGTAGGTCTCGTCCTCCTCTGAAGCGCCCGCCTCCACTTCTCTGAACACTCGGCCTCGATGTTGGCAGCCATGGCGGCCTTGCGCATGTCGATGCTCCTGGCCAACTCGGTGTCACCGTTCATCGCTCTGGAGACCGTTGACAATCTTGGTGGTCCTTCTTCTAGGATCTTCTCAGGAAGTCGAAATGGTCGTCCGAAAATTCTCTGATAAGGTGTAAAGCCTCCTCTGCGAACGCTCTCGCCCATCGCCACGTTGACCGCATCCACGAGCTCGTAGAAGTCTTCCCAGTTGTTAGTGTTGAACTTCTGCCTGGTTCGGTAGAAGGTCTCCTTCCAGGTGCCTCCAGCGCGTTCGGTCTTGCCCGCCTGCCATGGTGAAGTAGCACTCGTCACCTTGATCTCGGAACCATCTCCTTCAGCAGCTTCTGGAAACCCACCTGCAGAGACGCCTTTCTCGCCATCAATGACTATCATGCGTGGCACCCCGTAGACACGCTTCCAGAATGCGCGGTAATGACGTCGTATCTGAAGGCCATGCTGACTCGGTAGAGGTATCGCAACTTGATGTCCAGTACCGCGGCAGACAATGTTCAGCATGGGCACCTTGGTGGTGTTCTCGGGTCCCAACACGAAGAAGATGTCCATGCCGATGACATCGTTGAACTGGTAGGTAGTCGGAGCTTTGGAGGGCTTCGCGAGCTTCGGCCTCCTGTTCGCCTCGCAGCTCGGGCACTCGAGCTTCTGCGCCGCCTCAACGAAGGCCTGTCTGGCCTTGCCGTACTTCAGCACCATGACCAGGTTCTCGTTGCTGCAGTGGCCCATGCTCTCATGGATCTTGTGAACCTGTTGCTTGACGTGAGGGTCCGTGCTCTTCTCGTCTTTTGGTGCCGTTGTTGGTGTCGCAGGTGCCGCGCAGCATGCTGTACACTTACCTCGGTGTGTTGGGAGGGCACGGGTGCTTGCGACCCATTCCTGGTGGTGGAAAAGCTAATTCCCACACGATGCGCTTGTTTGTGGGAATTGGGTCTGGTCCCATTATTCTGGTCGTTCTGCTCCTCGATCTGCTCCCCAGGCTCCTTCGTGGTCTTCATCTTGATGATCGTCCGAACTAGCGCCCCAACCAGCTCCTGTAGGGAGTCGTCAATGTCCCCGAGGGCGGTGTGAGGTGGTCGATTCACGAGCTCCTGGCTCAACAACTTGGCGTACTCGGTGGCCTCATTGGGTAGATTGGAGAAGTACTTGCGGCCCTTCCGAAGCGCTCCGTCCTCGCCGATGTCGGGTAGACGCTTGAGCTTCTTGATGAGGGGATCCCCCCAGTCCCTGGAGTTCATGTCCTGCTCGTAGTAGAAGTACCTGCCGTTGACGGCCTGCTTGATCGCCACGTCGGAGATAAACGTCGGCATCTCCTTGCCGACCTTCTCCTTTAACTTGGTGTTGTAGATGTCCTTCGGAGGATTGGTAACTACCACGAGAGATGCTGAGTGTTGAAGCTTGCTCCACACTTCTCGCTGTCCCATCCTCGTCAGCAGATGGGAGCCCATGAGCGTCACGATCTCCTTGTTGGTCAAGCTCCTTTCCGCTCGATCGTCCTCCTTGAGGTGGTCCAGCTCGGGTTCGAAGTTGAGGTTGACCTGATTCACGAAGGCGCTGCTCTCGGAGATCGCGGCCTCCACTGCCTGAGTCAGGTCCTCGAAGTCGCTGATCTGCTTAATGGACGTGTTGATCATGCTGTTCTGCTTGTCGCTGAGCTTCTCTAGCAGTCGGTGATGTCGGCTCCGAGGTGTTCGCGGAGGTTCTCCACCAGCTGATTGGTCGTCGCGTTGGCGTTCTCGTCCTGTAGTAGCTCGCGCAGCGCTGTCAAGGCCTTGCTCCGTGGGGGCTCGCCCAGCTGCTCCCAGTCCTCGGTCTCCTCCTCCAGCTCGTCCTTCTGACACCGGTTGTCCTGGTGCATCGGATTGGTTCTGGAAGTGGTCCTCGGGCTTGTCGATGCTGTCCCGTTGGTCGCTGTTGGTCTCGCCTCGGTCTCATTCTTCTTGCTGCTGGTCTTGGTCGTTCCGGGCTTCCATCCCTTGATCCTCGCCTCGTCGTCCTTGAAGTCGTTGAGCATGTTGATGACCTTCATCATCCCTGGAGCTGACTGTGGGCAGTGCCCGAGGTGCATCTTGCAGCCGCAGCACTGCACCCAGAACGCTCGACCGTTGCCGCCGTGGCCCGTGAACTCGCGAACGCACGCCGTCTCTCGAGCTGGATCGTGATCTCGAGCCTGCCTCGGGTTGCCCTTTGGTGGACAGGGGCCCTGGTTGGGGATGTCCAAGAACCTGCAGATCATTGCCCCCGTTGGCGGTCTCGGTCGGTTGTCTATCTCGTGCCACGGCCACTGAAAAACCTTCCCCCTCTCTGGGTTGTCCCTCACCTTCGGGTCCTTCTGGGGATTCACAGGCTTCGCCGCGGCCTCTGTGGCCTCCGCCTGACCCGCAGTCGTTGGTGGCCTTCGCGATGATGAAGGCTGCGAGCGCCGAGTAGAGGTACTTAGGCGCCCGTCGCATGACATGGATATATGGAGAAATACTGGTGGAAGAGATTTTGGGAGAACCCGTCCGTGAAATCTGACTCGAGCCGAACCAGTTTTTGGGGATCGCACGCGGTTCATTTCGCAGTTTACGTTTGCGAACCTCAGCCGCTATGTCATTGCACTTGTTGCTCTCTTTGCGTGCTCGTGCTAGTGCTGCTATTATGTGTCGAGTGCTCGTCCTACGATCTTCTCTTGCCAGTTGCTCAGGTTGTTCTGAAACCGCCGTAGTGCCCAAGACGCCCGAGAAGTAGCAGCTTCCGATCTTCTGGGGCCTCTCGAGGTCTTTGTTACCAGACGTAGATGATAGATGGATGTACTCCGAGCTCGCCCCGAAGTCCATCGAAACCTCCCTCGAGCACAGAGTCCAGCTCTCAGGCTTCTTCCACGGGCGCACGAAGTTGTCGAGCTGCACCAGGAAGTGCTCACCTCCAGCATGGGCCAGAGGAAGTCTGACGTTCTGCTCTGGCAGGTCCAACTCCGACTGGAACGCGTGTAGTGACGCCTTCAGCTCCACGACGAATGCCTTGGAGAGCAGTAGCGGCGCCGCGCCCTTGACCAGGCACGCGAAGATCACCCCGCTGAAGTGGCCCAGCATGATCGGAATGAACACGCCCTCCGTCGCCGTGCAGACCTGGTCGTTCCCGAACCTGTACTTCTTGTGGCAGGGCACCGTCTCCAGCGTGATGCTGTGCACGTCCTTGTAGCGCTTGGCCCAGGCGTCGAAGGTGACCAGGCCCATCATGTTGAAGCCGCATGCCGTGTCGACCGCACCCCAGCCTGGTCTGCCAGACTTCCCGATGTCGATCGCCAGCGTGACGTGCTCCACCACGTTGGATCTCGCCGCCATCTTCGCCTCCGTCGCCACGTAGCTGCACACCTCGTCGTCCTGGAGCACCGTCATCGCGAAGAAGCCGCCCGTCGCCCTGACCTTGTTCTTCGGATTGTCGGGGCACTCCTTGTGCCAGTGACCCAGCTTCTTGCAGATGCCGCACTTCGTCCTCTTCTTGATGTCTTATATCTTCTCCTCGGTCCTTTTTCTGTCCTCGATGTTGTGGAACCCTCTGTTCGTCTTCTTGTCGGCTACGATCTTCCGAGCTTCACCCCATGTCCTGGGCTTTGGTGGTGGCCCGACCAGCGCCGCCAGGCAGTCCAGCGCCTCGGCCTCCGTGAGAGCCTCGCCGCTCTCGAGCTTGTCGTCTGGCTCCTTGTCGTCGTCTATGCCCAGCAGGTTCGCCATCGCGTCGTAGATGGGGTTGTCCTCGTCCTTGTCTTCAGTAGCCTCCTGCGGCTCCTCTTCCCGAATTCCCGCCAAGTAGGAAGCCGTTCTGGTAGTCGAAGTCTTCTCCGTGACCGCGTTGTCGCCCGTCATGCGCTTCAGGATCGCTACGAGCTTGTTCACGTCGTAGTCGTAGCCCGTCTGGATGAGCACTTGGTTGCGCTCCGTCTTGGCCAAGCCGGCCCCTCGAAGCAGCAGGAAGCCCATGGCCGTCTCGTTGAGCGCGTTCGGTAGCAGCCTGACCAGCTCCTTCTGTTCCGAGCGGATCCTGTTCGTGAACTTCATGAGCGTCTCGTCTCGCGCTCTCGGTGCTGCGAACAGCGTCTTCTCGAGCTGCTGAAACGTCTCGGCGTCCGCCTCTTGGAAGGCCAGCGTGTCCAGCGCCATGATCACCGTCTGCAGACCTCCAGCGAACTGCACACTTCCTGGTCGAAGATGTCTCGTCGCCGTCGCCGCCTCCCTCGTCAGGTGCAGCAGCAGCGTCTCGCCCTGCTCCTCAGGTGGGACCGCCGTAAGTCGGCTCCACCTGTCTATGGCCAGCCTCTTCTCGGGCCACTCGCTGAGATCCTTTGCGTCCCAGGCTGGACACGGTGGATCTTTTCCTCTGCGTCCTCTTGGTGGTCGTCGTCCTCCGTCTTGGTCTTCGTCCAGTTCAAGTCGTCCTCGATGGAAGCCTACCGCCTTCTTGACCTGCTCTGGCGTGCCGAAACCTCTCGATCGTGATGATATGTCCGACTGTGTGTCCTCGTGCTCGTATCTGTCGTGCTCGTACCTGTCGTTCTCGGGCCAGTAGTCATCGTTATAGCCGTCGCTTGCCCACTGCCAAGCTCCCCAATCGGCCTCTCGATGTTTGGTCCATGATCTCCAAGGGTCCCACGAGCTGCTCTGCCGTGTACTGTTCTGAATCCGATTGTTGTCGTCCCCGTTGTCGTCATCCACGATTTCCCATCTCTGCTTGCTGTCGTGACCGCTGTCGTTGCCGTCGCTCCGCTTACCACATGTGGATGGGCTCCTGGTTCCTCGAGGCCTCTCGGACATCTTAGAGGGTAACGTACTTTGGGAACATGAGACTGATCGGATCCTTTTCAGTACCTAGCGCGCAAGCTCCTGAAAGGGGGCCGCCAGGCCCCCTTTCCCTGAACCGAAACAGCAGTACAGGAAAAAGGGTTCAGGGGTTCTGGGCTAGGCTGTACAGGCAACTAGAGGGCCCAAGGTGGCTTCTTGGGGGTCCGCGGGCCTCTAGAATCACACGGATGCTGATGTTGATGACGATGACGTTGAGGATGGGGATGGTGACCAGGAGGAGAAGGATGAGGAGGAGGATGCGGATGCGGATGAGGAGGCGGAATGTGTTGTTGATGTTGATGTTGGTAATGGTGAAGACGATGATGATGATGATGATGATGATGATGATGATGATGCTGATGTTGATGCTGATGCTGATGCTGATGCTGATGCGGATGCGGATGCGGATGCGGATGCGGATGCGGATGCGGATGCTGATGTTGATGCTGATACTGATGCTTATGGTGATGTTGATGGTGATGCTGAGGAGGAGGAGGAGGAGGAGGAGGAGGAGGAGCAGGAGGAGGATCACGAGGAAGAGGAGGATGTGGAGGAGGAGGAGGAGGAGGAGAAGGATGATGAGGATGAGGAGGAGGAGGAGGAGGAGGAGAAGGATGATGAGGATGAGGAGGAGGGCCCGTGGCCGCCCACAGGGACTCGAGACGCAGCGGCGGCAGCTGGACGCGCTGCAGCAGGAGGAGACTGCCGCCTCGCCGCGCGAAGCTCGCTGTCGTCGCCGCCACCGCCGCCGTCCGCGTCCTCGCTGTCGTCGTCCGCGCCGTCGCCTTCGTCGGCGTCGTCGGTCAACGTCGTTGTTCGTCGTCGTTGTTCGTCGTTGTTCGTCGTTCGTCGTCCTCTTCATCCTCGCCGTCGTCGTCGTCCTCTTTGTCCTCGTCGTCGTCGCTGCCCACCGGTGGGGGATCTGCATGGGCAGGGGGGAGGGGGGAGGGGACGTAGGAGGGGACGTTCGCGGCGTCGTCCTCGGAGGGGGAGAAAGGGGAGGAGGACGTGAGCGAGGAGGTGGAGGAAGAGGACGAGGAGGAGGATCAGTAGCTGGAGGAGGAGGAGGAGTTGGAGGAGGAGAGGAGGAGGAGGAGGAGGAGAAGTAGGAGGAGGAGGAGGAGGAGGAGGAGCTGTAGGAGGAGAGGAGGAAGAGGAGGAAGAGGAGGAGACGGAGACGGAGGAGGAGGTGGAGGCAGAGGAGGAGGAGGAGGAGGAGGAGGAGGAGGAGGAAATCGTGGTGATGGCGGAGCGGGGGGTGGGGTGGGGGCCGACGGCGGGCGGGGGGGCGGGGAGGATGCTGGAGGCAGGAGAGTACGAGAAAGGGGGGCGGAGAAGAAGGGGGAGGAGCACGGGAGGAGGGGCCCCCTTTCTCTCTCTTCCCCGCGCCCGCCCGCCCCCTACTGCCCGTCCTCCTCCCCCCCCCCGCCCCTTCGCGTCTCCCGCCCATCTCCTCCCTCCTTCCCCCGCCCACCCGGTGCCGATGGCTCATCCATCTCCTTCCCCCCCCCCCTCTTCTCATCCCCCTCCGTCCTCCTCGTCCTCCCTCCTCCCCCCTTCCCCCGCCCCTCGGTGTTGATGGCTCAGCATCCCCCTCCCTCCCACTCCTTCTCATCCGCCCCCGCTTCCCCCCCTCCCAAGGCAGGCCTGGCCTCCCCAAGGCAGGCCAGGTTGCAGCCAGATGCTGCGCATGTAAGCATCGTCGAGTTTACAGTTAACCCGCCTAATATTAAATCGGGCATGTCCCTCTACAGGGGGAAACCTTCAAGCATAATAAAACAATCATATGGTGAGGATTGGCTTCGTTTGAAAAATGTTTGGCTATGTTGGAGGATGTTTTGACAATGTTTCGTTGTTTCCTTCAAAATCCGCCTGTAGGAGGACATGCCAGACCTAAGTCTAGTCAACAGCTAACCCGCCGAATGAGGATGGGCAACTTTCCCAAGGGTACCCTTGCGTCCTTGCCTTCTCGGTCCATCGTCGGCCTCTTTCCTTGGCCGCGCTCCGCTCGAAAAGCTTTGAAATGGGCGTCCAAGGCCCTTGCATCCTTATCGCGCATCCTTATGATACGGGCCGACAGTAGCACTTTACGAGACGACAGAAGCTCAGCGTCTCAGAGTAGACCCAAGCTGGAGCTCACACAGTTCGCCGCCAGGGCTGGCAGGTGGACTGGCAGAGCGTAGAACACCGGTCAACCCGCACAGTAAGGATGGGCGACCTGAGCCCAGGGATCCGACGCCTTCCCTTGTTCGCCGCGGGCCCCCGGGAAGTGGCTATTTCTGAGCATGTTTAGATGTTGTTCCATTTCTCTTCCAAAGTCCGCCTGGAGGAGGGCATGCTCGACCGAACCCCAGGGATCCGACGCCTTCCCTTGTTCGCCGCGGGGCCCCCGGAAGTGGCGATCTGTGTGCATTTTATGATCCCCAGCTTCCTTCCAAAAGCCGCCTGGAGGAGGGCATGCTCGGCCTGACGCCAGGGCTCCGACGCCTGCCCTTCTTCGCCGCGGGGCCCCCAGGAAGTGGCCACTCCTAACATGTGTTATACACCTTAGGCGATGCTTAAGAAAACCTAAGTTTTCGGCCAGAGTCTCGATTATTCTTAACGTTTCAATGTAAATCCTAAGATTTGAATGGAAATGTTGGGTTTTTATTCAAGTTCTGAGACTATGAATTTCTTAACCCATGATTTCTAAAGCATTTCGCGGGGTGTACGCTCCACTTCTCTGCCAACATGCCGCCTGCAGGAGGGCATGCTCGACCTGGCCCCGGGGATCCGACGCACGGGGGGCGGCAGGCTCGCTGGCTCAGCGCTGGCATGGGAGCGAGCCGTGCTCGCCGACATCGTGCCACTCTCGCTCGGCCACCAGAGATCGGGCGAAGAGAACTATGCATATGGGCGCCCTCGAGGGCGCGAAGTTATTCGCGCTTCGCGGTTCCGCTCCGATTCCTCCTCTTCCTCCTCTTCTCCACTGGGAGGCGGCGCGAGAGCGCGAAGTTATTCGCACTTCGCGCTTCGCGCAGCGCGAAGCGCGAAGCTGGGAGCCCTTGGAGATCGGGCGAAGAGAACTATGCACATGCACCGATCCTGACAACGCCCATCCTTGACCCAGGATCGGTGCATATGCCTTCCTGGCCAAGGTAGGCGGGCGTATGCACCGATCCTGGGCTCAGGATGGGCCTGGCCAGAATCGGTGTATGTGCATAGTTCTTTTTCCTTTAAGAGAGGGGACACAAAGAAGACAGCGCACGAGACGAGAGAGAGAGAGAGAGAGAGAGAGAAGCCGGCCCAGTCGAACACGAAACGGGAGCAAGAGAGAAAGAGGCGGCGGCAGGCGGGAGGAGGGGGAGGGCCCTCGGGACGCCTCGGCCGCCGATTTGCCCTCCATTTCCAGTGGGGGCGGGTCGGAGAACACTGGAAACAGAAACATATGAAGCCCGTAGCCCCCCCAAACCCGAAATCTCCTCGTGCTCCTACGCCGCCTTCTCCTCCTCGTGCTCCTCCGCAGCCCGCCCGCGGGGCGCGGCGGGCGCGCGCCCGAGGGCCCCCCTCCCCCCCCCCTCGAGGCCACTCCTGGGAGGTCCTCCTCCCCTCCCCCCCCTCGAGGCCACTCCTCCTCCCCTCCTTCCCTCCTCCCCTCCTCCTCCCCTCCCCTCCTCCTCGCCTCCCCTCCTCGAGGGCCCCCCCTCCCCCCCCCCCTCGAGGCCACTCCTGGGAGGTCCTCCTCGGAGCGAGGGCGATCACGCGCTCGGAGGATGGGCCGACGGAGGAGTCCCTTCCCTTCTCCGCCGCGGGGCCCCCGGGGACGCCTCGGCCGCCCGCGGCGCCCGCCAGGCCGGCGAGAAGGGCCGAGAGCTGGGGCGCGCGCGAAGCGCGAGGGCCGTCCGCAGCGCCCGCCGTCCGCAGCGCCTCCTCCAGGCTCGCCGCCCCCCCCCCCCCCCTCGAGGAGGCGTAGGAGGAGGAGGGGGAGGAATAGGAGGAGGGATCGAGGAGGAGGAGGAGGCGGAGGGGAGGAGGAGGAGCTCTGGAGGAGGAAGAAGGAGGGATGAAGGAGGAGGGGAGGCGGAGGATGCGGAGATTGTACGGATTAGGCGGATGAGTGAGTAGGAGGAGGCCGTATGAGGTGAAGGATTAAAGGGAGTCACTAGATGCGGCGGATGAGTGATCGATGACATGAGGTGGATGGCCTGAGTCCGGTAGGAGATTAGTAGTAGGAAAAGGAGGGGGGGGCTCAGAGCGTCCCGAACGGCCTCCGGAGGGCCGAGTTGTGATCCGAAAATTGAACGAGGAGGATCATGGGGGGGATGCAGGCTCAGGGGAACGCA